TCATCCAACCAGCATCCATCCATCATCATCCAACCAGCAGTCATCCATCCATCATCATCCAACCAACATTCATCCATCATACTCCAACCAGCATCCAACCACCCTCATCCAACCAGCATCCATCCATCATCATCCAACCAGCATTCATTCTTCATCATTCAACCACCATCCAGCCAGCAACCAACCTTCATCCAACCTTCACCCAACCATCATCCAACCATCCATACATCATTCGGCCAACATCCAATCAGCATCCATCCATCATCCAACCAGCATTCATCCATCATCCAACCATCTAAACATCCATCCAACCAGTATCTCTCAACATCCAACCAGTATCTCTCAACATCCAACCAGTATCTATCATCATCCAACCAACACCAAACTATCATCCAACATCCATCCATTCATCCATCCATCCATCCATAGTCAGGTCTTGAGGGCAGCAGCTGCACCAGGGAGGTTCAGACCTCTCCATCCTCTTTCAGCTCTTCTGGGTGGTCTCCAAGGTGTTCCCAGACCATCTGAGAGACATAGTCTCTACAGGGTTTCCTGGGTGTCCCCGGGGTCTCTTCCTCCCAGTTGGACATGCCCAGAACACATCACTAGGGATGCATCCAGGGGTGTTCCTTACCAGATGAACCACCTCAGCTGGTTCTTCTGAATGAAGCAGCTGTACTTTGAGTCTCACCTGGAGAACTGAATTTCTCAGCCTGTCTGCAAAGGAGTGTCCAGCTCCCCTGCAGAGAAAACCTGTCTGGACCTCCTGGATCTGAGACCTCATTCTTTTTTATCACCAGACAGAATAAAACAGAGTAAAAAGTAAGCCTCAGACAAACAGCGTCTGTGTGAAAACTATAAGTGGGATCAAAAAACATCTTGACCCATGAGCAGCAGAAGGTTCTGATGGCCACACACATTCAGTTTGAGGTTATGGATCTCAACGGTTCTAGTTCCTAATCATCATTTTACTTCTTGGTCCAGTTCCCATCTGTGAAATATGGACCATGACGGGGAGCTGACAGAGCAGGAACTCTGTGATGCTGACTAATACTCACACTGAACTCAGTGACCACGATYTCCACCACGCTGCCAACCACGATGAGAGCATCAAAAGAATTCCAGGCATCAACGAAGTAGTGCTGAAAACACACAAAGGAAGATGAGTGTCTGGGTTTCAGACATCAGTACCCGTTCTTCAGAAAGGACTGGTTTTCTGACCCGAAGTCTGAGAGCCAGCAGCTTCAGCAGCATCTCCACAGTGAAAAGTCCAGTGAAGACCATGTTGAGGATGTCCATGATGTCGCTGAAGGTTTTGGACTGCTCATAGTGCTGCAGAACAGAGGAGAACCCACTCAGGCTTGGTTTGGTCCAACAGAACACAGAGCTGGAAGGTTTCTGACCTGAACCGCCAGGGTAACTGTGTTGAGCAGGATCAGGACAAACATCACGTACTCAAATCCTGTAGAGTTGATGATGTACCAGAACTTATACTGAACCGGGTTCTTTGGGATGTAAAGTTTGAGAGGCTGGGCCTTCAGGGCGTACTCCACACACTGACGCTAAACAGGACAATTCATTCAACATGACCAGAATTAAACTCAGACACAAAATGGACCATCGATCTGATCTGAAGCTAAATCTACTAGTGAGGAAACTAAAAGCATGCCATATCAGTAAAAATGTTTTGGAACTGGTCTACAGGTCAATGATCGAATCTATCCTCATTTTTAATATTTTTACCTGGTATAGTTTCATTACAATGAAACAAAAAACAAAAACTATCCRGCATCATTAACCAGGCTAGTAGGATCACTGGTTTAGTACAAAGCCCACTGTCTGAGCTGTACAAGGCCTCTGTGGTCAGGAAAGCCACTCAGACCACAGAGGACCAGTCACATTCTCTTCACCATCTTTTTCAGCATCTCCCTTCTAGCAAGTGTTATAAGGTTCCCCTGGCCAGGAAAAACATCTATAAAAAATCATTTGTCCCTCCTGCAATTACTCTACTCTACTAAACAAGGCTGATTAGTTACCCCC